TAACCTGGTGGTAAGCCGTCGTGTGTTTAGCTTTCTATTAGGGACAAACCTGCTAGCACATCGAATTCAGATTAGTAAACTTCGCTGACTAGGACACGTACTGCCTACGCCCAGCTACCGCCTACCACATTGCACCTTATTCGCTGTAGCCGTTCCGGGCTGGAGGAAACCACGTGGAGGTCAACAGATGACGTGGAGACGAGGCATAAAGAAATGCACAGAGGTATTAGGTAAAGTAGGTGTCTAGCACCTTTAATATTGAGGTCCGAAAGATTTTGCAACTATTTGCATGGATGAATTGAAGGATATGACAATGAACCGACACATTGGTGATTGTTATCATTCCTTACTAGGTCGGAATGCTTGAAAAGATTTGTATGCACAGTTAGACGGTGGACTCTGAAAATCGACCAGAGGCTCACCTTTCCCCTCCCTCAAAGTAGGTTCAACTCCTCCCCGCCTAGCATAATACCACTAACTTCTTTCTTTTTATGAAGATTGTTGTACCATGATTTGTCTGAACTTATACGTGTATGAAGTATTCATATATACCACCAACCTCATTCGCATTGCGATTTTGACAGCGATCAGTGAAGTTCCCTTCACTGTATTTCGCTGTGCGATGAAGAGCTTGAGTAAATAGGCGACTGCGATCGCCTTATACTCTTCATTCAAGCTGGTTAACATATCAGACCCGGAGAGCACTCACATTCTTCCGTTCGTATAAGAGTGCCTCTCGGCACGAAAATGATATGAGATCATTGTGATCACCACTGCACAAGGAAATATGGTGAGACGAACTTCGCTGAATGCTCACAAGTTCACAGTATACACATAGTAAGTACGAATGTGTAAGGACAGAGAGTGAGCCTGTTTTGGAGGGGAAAAGAAAGTTGATCTGTATGGCCAGCAGTCTAACTAGCTACTTCAAGCACTCTGGTATAAGAAACGAAGAGTAGCACTACTGTCGCTTCGCTGTCATGCCCGTCAGTGTTTCGAACCAACCAACTACGAATTCCTTCAGATCCCATTCTGGAAGATGAAAAACTTCCACTCTATCAGGATTCTCTGTGCTTTTCTTCATATCTCCTCTAGTCTGGTTCCGTAACTGTAAACAATGTTCGGTGCGGTGGAAGATCACTGGACTTAATACGTGTCCTAACCAGCAAAGTCGATACAACTGAATGCAGTGAGACAATTAATGTTCTACCGAAACATTCCCAAAAAACGACGGTTTAAGCTCCTGTGTTTACCTCCCGGCAAGGGTTCTCCGCACAAAATACCACAAACATCTGTGGACAGCGCTGAAACGAGGTGGCCCGCGACTAAATGTGGCCAATGCTCCTTGTCGAGATCCACTGATTGACGAGGCGACTGAACCGAAGACTGGCCACCGGCTAATCTGGAACATTACTGCCGTCTTGCAGTCCGCACTTGGTTGCGCAAAGGCAAGAGTGCGTCCTCGAACAAGGCCTAATCTGGACCGGGCGACCGAGTAGTACAACAGCCCGCAACACACAATCATGAATCGTTTTGCTCTTATGACTCTGTACTCTGATGCTTCCTCATCCTGCGAAAAACATTCTACACCGTACAAACCCTCTTGTTCCCCCAGCCCAACACTCCTCCATCTATCTCGGGTGCTTCAGACGACCGTACTAACAGTAGTGTCTCGGGTGGAAATTCTGCCGCTGATCGTTCTTGTCCCACCTCAATCAGTATCCAAGTCTCACCGAATCCTCCACCAGCTGAAGCCCTTCTTCGCCCTCGATGTCCCTTCAAACTAGCCACGTCTAATGTGCGTACTCTGATGCCTATAGGACAACAGACGTGTAGCTCTTACGCTCGAAACCCTAGCCATCGATGTGTGTTGTATCCAAGAGGCTCACATTCAAAACTCCAGCTCCATCATCCGATTGAAGTTCCCATCAAACTCATCAGTGAAGTTT